AACCGTCCTAGATATTCTTGTCCTCGAGGGATGGAATTTGAGACGTCCGGCGAGACACTCACCTTATCCTGCCTGGAAACTGGAGAATGGGAACCCCTCGAGAAATGCATCTGGGTGGAATGCCTGGGGGACCCGGTGCTGCCTTCGATGTATTTCATTTCAAACTGGGACGGGACGTCGAGGAAAGTCGGGACCACTTTCCAATACATGTGCCTCATAGCATTCCAAACGACCGTAGTTGGCCGTTGCGAGGAAACGGGGAAATGGTCTTCCCCTCCTCTTCTCGACTGTGACCGTAAGTTTCAATCCTTCCACGAATCCCTTTTGTAGCATTACTAGTTATGATGTCACATATTGCACCTTCATCCACCTCATCAACTTAATCTTCAGCATGCAACTTACGTAATTTATTGAAGAAGAAAAGATATGAAGAAATTCCCCGTGATTTAGCAGGGACGTCAACATACATCGAAATCGAGGCAGAAGAGTTCATCCCAATTATCGCAATCCCATCGAAGCCTAAATCTTAATCGGAGAATTCATTGTATCTTTCTCTTCTCCAATGGTTCTGTGACCTGTTCAAAGTAGTTGTGTGTCTATTTTCTCATTTTTCCATCATCGTTTCGTTCCCAATATTCCCACGCCATTCCCTAGTGTGACTGGGTTGTGTGCGTCATGAATGGCAATACATTAGTGATGTGAATGCTTTCGGACCCCAAATACGTATGAGGAACGTATCTGAGGCGTGTTCAAAGATTGCTCGATGTAGATCACAGATGATGGCCTCCGTCCAAGGTGGAACCGAAATCGGATCTCGGCATTTTCTTCAAGTCTCGTAGGTAAGGTCTTCCATGCAATTTTCCTTTTTCGCACGTTTGCTCGACTGTTCTCTTGATCCTGTGCAGGGTACAGCAAGGCGGTGAATAGTTTTCAAAGAGGGACCTCTTCACATAACTGATAATTATACATTTTCTGCCTATAATTCACGATGTGTAATGAGAAGGACTAGTTTTCTACCATGGGACACAGAAGAGACGAGGAATTGTAATTCTATCTAATGAATCGCCATGGAACTCATCCCCTCTTCCCTAATGCCATATTTTCTATATCACAGGAGATGAGGCGTGGTGGAAATCGCTGGAGAGAGGAGTTCGTGCTTCTATCAAAATCCTGCATGTTTTCCTTTTCTTCTCATTATTAGTCTCTATGTCTTCGGAACGTTAAATATTCCTCTCTTAATAACCTTTTGTGATACACATGCGCAGCCCTCAATGCAGAAGAATGGACTGGCAATGCGACCGAGCTGACAGATTGATCAAGCGGAAGCCACTCTACAGGATTGTCCAAATTAATATAATTATTTCTGATAATTTTTTTCGTTTCCTCCTACTTTTCTTCATCCTCTCTCAGCAATTCAGAAGGAATATTCCGTTTCTGGGATTAGTAAAGCAAGATAACCAGCGCCAAGTCTGCGTCTTTAAAGCTCATAAAACATTGCTTCCTTCCACCAACTGACATCACTCATGTTTTTTTTAAATCGTACAGGATAGCACGTCTTCGATCGTCTGAGTGGTCATCAATGTCGCGTGAAGAGGACTGGCATCGAGCTTTCCAGGATGCCTCACGACTTCATCATCCGAAGAATCACAAGATATTGCACTCCTCGTGAATATTCTCATCTGATTATCGCATCCGACCAAGGTGAATGGACCTCATGAGTCGGGTATCTCCGCTTTAATGCATGCGCTATGCATCTTCGCCACCGAGGTCAGCTTCAGTATTCTCTCGTGCCGCGTGTTATCGCATCGCTTTCCTTCTGTCTTAACATGAATTAGTTTTATCCCAGCGGCAAGAATTTAACACAGAATTTAAATAATATACATTTTGTAATGAAAGCCATCTTGGATGTCAACGAGATCTTTTCACTGAATTTTTTTTTTACCGCGTAAGAGTGGGACAAGGAATGTTCATCCTGAGCAAATTGTTCGTTCCACTCTCCCTTGTGTCGAGTGATCAAGTGAGATCTCAAGCAACGCGTCTACAACCAAACGCAAGAAAGCTCTTTGCTGACAAATACTTCGATCGAGTCGACACAAGTGACTAAGTAAATAACGTAACGCACGGAAGAGGATGATCGAAAATTAACACAAGCCAGTGAGTGCTTTTTCTATCCTGAAAAGAAAAGGAAAGATGATCGTTACATGGTGTATCAAGACTCCATGAAACGTTCACTAATTAAAAAATCATCTAAGCATACTAATCACAATCATCTCTGTCGTAATGATTTTAACGCATGGAGGATCGGGGGATCGGTTGCGTAATGGCCACGCTTCCAATCAAGGATATTTTCAGAATGGTATGACTTGAGTGTGATTTTGTAACGTCAGAGTATATTTAAGATCATCACGACACGGCAATCTGAATCGGCACCTCGACGAAATTAGATTCATCGACGCAAGGGTAGCCGGGTAGAGTTTGGATCGCCATAAGTCAAAAATCAGATGCAACTAGGGGAAACGCACTTCAAAACGAGTCGAAGTAGAGGAAGTGGAATCGCGAGGCACGAGCCTCCCATCGATCGAATCACAATAAAATGCGTCCAGCGATAGATTGAAAATGCAGTGGGAGCCTGCTGGATGAGACCTGGAACCGCATGGAATCCTGTGGAAACACATGATACCGTTCCATGATACCACCGAGAGCGCCTACTTTGGCGACATCTCGCATATTAAGCAGGAACCTTGCTTATTCGTGCGGCAAAAATAGATGACAACCACACAAATAGCACATATTATATATTGGCAATATTTTGGCTTAGTCATAGGAAGAAACTAAGCTCCACACGGTTTGCAATGTCGGCCCACGCCCCACCCAAAACTACAAGCTGCAATGGCCTCAATCTGATGTGATGAACGTCAAAGATATTTCAGTCGGGCCTTCTCGTTCGTCGGCAGGAGAAAATGCTCATCATCAAACCTTTTACCTTTTAGCGCCGGAAACTCATGCTCTCTTAAATTTGTCTTAAAGTCCGGACCCATTTTACATGCCACGAGCAAATCGATCCGATGACTTAGGGAAATGAATGGAAGAACGAGGGATCGATCGTCCCTTGCGACATGCCCCGAGATGGCTCAGACCCTATCTGAAACGTTGAAAACCGTCATTCAACGTCATTCCATTAGCCTAATTTCAAAGTCATTTCTCGATTGTATTTTCATTTCGATTGAGGATTTACATGCAGCACAGGCGAAATGAATTAATCGATATGGAGGAAAGGAAGAAGACGCTGAGCATTGAAACGAGGAAGGAAAGACGAATCGGAGGTGATGAACAGGACCATGCAGAGTTTATTCCGGATTACATCGCTGAGATCAATTCATTCTTCAGGCAGGAGTTATGCAATACCAGGAGCTAATTATGAATCATTTCACAAAGTCGGGAAAGTTCACTGTTGTGCAAAGGGCATTACTTGCTTCGAAGAGAGAGCGAGAAACGAGAGGGAAAGAATTCATCAGCCAACGGACTCGTTATCAGGGCAAAGGGGAAGGTGGAAAGGACGCCGGAAGGAGGGGAGATGGATATCTGCGTGGGAAGGGGGAGTGCCAAGGTCGACCGGTGCATCGAAAGGGGAAAGGAAGGGTATAAAAGGTGTTTCAAGCTGACATTCTGAGTAGTGCCAAATTGGTCTCATTCGACGCCAGACTCCGCTGACCTGATCACGACCGACGGGTGAGTCCTTGTCCTTGTTCATCGTTCTTGAGAATGCGGATTGGGTTTGAGGGATTGTGCGTAATTCTAATGCATTTTTCTAATCCATTGTACATACTGGAGTTACATTTTGCCAGGAAGAAGGAAAGTGACCAAGAACCAACACCAGCAATTCAGCGCCAACAAGGGAGGGGATTGAAGTTCTGGGGCTCCTGTCGCACTCTTCCTCTCTGGAGGGGATCTGGAACCGATTACGCTGTTTCTGGCACCATCTCATGAGGGCATGACGAACTGAGGACCCTGTCGCTGGTGCCATCTGTGGAGGAGATGAACAACTCACGACCCTGTCACTGGCATCTCTGGAGGGGATGTCAAACTGAGGATCCTGCTGTTAACGGAATCTCTGAGGTATCGGGAACCAAGCTGTTGTGCCAGCTCCAAAGATCGCAGATGTTCGCTGTCTGTATAGCAAGATACTATGGCTTACACGTGCAACCCTGCTGCGAAGTTGGCTCCCCCCACCTGCAACTACCAGATGCTCTTGTACCAATGTAATGGTTGTGATGTGACCTGGGCTTTTCAGATATGTTTCAAGAATTCAAAGATAATTCATTCTGGCCTTCTCGATTGTCAACTGCAGAAAAAGTATTTTCTCAAGCGTTTTACATGAATTTATAGCGCCGTGAATTCATGCACTCAAAAAAAATATGTCCTAAAACCGTGGCTCGTGTTACATACCGTGAGCAAAGCCCATGATTTGTGGTAAAGTAATTTGCGGAGTTTATTCTGTATTTCACTCCCTAGTTTCCCATGGATTCTTGCGTTTCCGATCTTCATAACCATTGTTTCATGGCGAACAGGCAGGAGTCATTCACTACTAGGAGCTAATTATTAATCTTTTCATAAATTTATAGGAAAGTTTTGTGAAGAAAAGCGTGCATTGAAGAGACAGTGAGAGGGAAATTCGCTCTCCCACGGACTCCTTATCTGGTAGGTGGGAAGGGTCATTATATAGTTTGAGAATATGAATTGGGTGCGTGGATTTGTGGCGAATTTCCGATTATTACCAGTGGAGTTGGGTTTAACAGTATGAATATTATCTTCAGAAACTTGAATGTATATGAATACTCTTACTCAAATGACCACTAGACCATTACCCATTACACCATTACCCATGATTACATTTTTTGATTACATACATGATTACATACTTTGATACTACGAGGAAATACGAGAAACCATCATTGCAACGATGGCAGTCGGATCGATCTCGTCTGTGACGTTGGGAGTCGCCTTGATACGGATGACAATGCCATTCCGCTCCGCAATTAGCACGAATACATCAGAATTCCTTAATCCAGTTTTGCGTCCCCTACCCATTCGCCCCGCCGAGCCACAAGCTGACGGGATCCCACCGTGCTCGTTGGCATGCTGCCGGATCCGTCATCGCGTGGGGAAGTGGGGCTAGGTGTGAACCTCCTCTTTCTGCTTCTCGTCCCATTACGTCCTTCCTACGTGACCGGTGCGTCCTCCCTACAACCCCACCTTCTTTTGTCGATAAAAGGATAAAAGGACTCCTTCCTGTTCCGGGACAGACATTAGACTCTGTCTCCTCGACGATGAAAGTCACATGGGATTCTTTTCCACTTCTTTTCTTCCTGTTACATCATTAATGTCCCCTTTCGAAAACCAAACGAGGGCGAACGTCCTAAAAGAAACATGATCGCATAGGCGGAAGAGAGACAGGAAGCGACTAATTAAGGGTTCACAGCAAATTTGCTCCTCGATGTCTCTCAATGCCGTTGTCATGTTGCGGACGAGCGATTCTGGCTTTCTTGCGGACCAGATGGCATGCTGAAAATTGTTCTATCCCAAAGCCCACCCCAAGTTCAAGCATTTGATTTTCAAAAACATATGAGAGACAAGCCAGCTCGTCGCCAAGAGGAAATCCGTCAGGTAAAAAGGCAGACCTGCCCCATTTTCCGAATAATGCAGCCCACACAGATGTCATTCCTGACGTTCCTGTTTTTCTGTATGGGAATGAAGTGGTTTCGATGGTGTACCCTCTAAATAACATCGCGCATTCCTGGAAAACATATATTCCGCGAATATTCCTCATCCCTTTCATCACCCCCTCCATACATCTTAGCAGCTTCAATGCTTTTAATTAGTGATTCCAAATCAGAAGAGTAAATTTGAATTATACAGCAGGATATATAATTTTGCTAAATCAACTTCTATGTCCTACCTACAAACTGTCTTCATGCCCAGACCTACCTTTCTTCGACCAACAAGTGTCTATGTCCACGAATGCACGGGGCCAATTTGGAATTTAGTCTTCAGTTTCTGCGAAGTTCTCGAGGACGCCTGCGAACAGAATCCGAAAAAATGTTGCACGACGTTCAAAATGCGTCGGTTCCCCGCCGTCATCTATCCTCCCATTCTGGTACACGATGAACTCGGCAACAGAAAAGGGGGGGGAGAAGACTATTGGGACTATTGGACAGAAAACGTGGGCCGCGCTCAACTTCGATTCTCTGAATGCTCTCCTAGAGGAAACGAGATGCCGATTTTTGGCCCGGGATTGGGTTCGTGGATATGCCATATTTATTAAGAGATTGAGATAATGTTTTATGCATTGTCCTTTCCGTTCGATAGGTCGCATGAATACCAGGGAGAACCATACTATTTATATATACTATGGAGCCGTACCATTGTCCGGCATAGCAATCAAATCGATTCCGAGAGATAAAGGAACGAATCCGCACCAAGCTCGTCCGGACCCTTACGAAAATGTCTTATAGGATTCCTATATATTCCTTTAGGAATATATAGGAATCCTATAGGAA